AATGGCGAGTACATCACTCACCTTCGATTTGCCGACGATATAGTCCTTATGGCAGAATCGCTGGAGGACTTAAGCACTATGCTCAATGACCTCAATAGTGCCTCCCAACGGATAGGTCTTAAGATGAACATGGACAAAACAAAGATCATGTTCAATGTCCATGTCACACCTATGCCGGTAGTTGTTGGGAGCACTATGCTCGAAGTTGTTGACGAATACGTTTACCTGGGACAAATAGTCCGACTAGGTAAGTCCAACTTCGACCGAGAGGTCAATCGACGGATTCAACTCGGCTGGGCAGCGTTCGGGAAATTACGGCATATCTTTTCGTCAGGTATACCTCAATCTCTAAAAACTAGATTGTACAACCAGTGCGTGTTGCCAGTGATGACTTACGGATCTGAGACGTGGTCCTTCACTGCTGGCCGTATGAGGACGCTTAAGGTCGCTCAGCGAGCTATGGAGAGGGCTATGCTCGGAGTTTCTCTGCGTGATAGACTCAGAAATGAGGATATCCGCAGTAAAACCAGAGTGACCGACATAGCCCAACGGATTAGTAAGCTGAAGTGGCAATGGGCCGGCCATATAGCTCGAAGAACCGATAACCGATGGGGAAGAAAGGTTCTCGAGTGGCAGCCTCGTACCGGTAGGCGTAGTGTAGGGCGACCCCCCACTAGATGGAGTGACGACCTGGTAAGACATGCAGGAAGTCGATGGATGCAGGTGGCTCAGGACCGTGCTTTGTGGCATTACTTGGGGGAGGCCTATGTTCAGCAGTGGACTTGTGAAGGGCTGTAATGATGATGATGATGACCTTCATAACAGCTTCAAACTGGATTTTGTAAGCTGACCAGGAAGAAGTCCCGTCGAACGGTGGCACTTTGAACCCACGTAGCGAACGTGTTGTAGCTACTAAGGGAGTTGTAATTCCATCCCCCAGTTTGACGTCGTCCAGCGTTTTCTTCACGTCAGCCATCACGTTGTCAACCCGATTGTTCACTTGGTTGATTCGGGTTTCAGCTTTCTCGATTCGGGTTTCAGCTTTCGCGATTTGGGTTTCAGCTTCTGACAGGCGGTTGTCATGCTGAGCAACCCTATCCTTCACCTCCTTGATCTCCTTCCCGAAGCTAGCGTGAAGATCCTTCACGAGGAGCATCTGCTCTTCCAACTAACGGGCCTGTTCCTCTTGTCCACCTCGCAGCTGCTCTTCCAAACGACGGACCTGTTCCTATTGTCCGCCCCGCAGCTGCTCTTTCAAACTGCGGGCCTTTTCCTCCTGTCGACGAGCCTGTTCCTCCTGTCGGCGAGCCTGTTCCTCCTGTCGGCGAGCCTGCTCCTGCAGCATCACCATCAGAGCACCTAAGTTAGGTGCTGCAGATGTAGGAGCTACTGATGGGCCTGCAGCCGGCGGCTGGCCCTCCGACGTCTGCGGAGTTGCACCACCAAATCTTCTCTGGTCCGTCTCCTGCTGGCGTTGACTTCGGGTACGGACACCCTCCGTTTCCTCCTTAGGTAAAATCGGCATGATTTTATCCCACTTCTGACACCAATTGTTACGAGCTTGAGGTTCGTGACAATAAAAACTGCCGATTGAATTACCAAAATTAACTCTTTAATTCACTTTACACTAATTAAAACTTAGAAAACTAATAACTAACCACACTGATTCACTTTATTTCGCTCCGAAGCTTCGCTTGTCTCGCCAAATTCAATACTTCCCCACTCGCATCTTGCACTGCATTTAAATACACATTATCACCGAAACATCCAGAATATTCAAGTAAATACGCACGCCAATCGACAAGGCGTCGAAAGTTTGAGTGTCGGGCTTCTAGAAGCTTAGTTCTTCGTTTCGATACTAGATGGCGCCGTAGGTTGAAATATTAGTGATGTCATTTTCTGAAAAGCTCCCCTCGCTCTCGTCCCCGACACTAGATGGCGCTAGTGCCGGGTACATGACATCAACTTAGGCGCGCAACAATATTAATTTCCTTAAATTTTTGTCTCAGTGACTCTTTTGGTTTTAAATTATATATTGCTCTAATGGCCCTCTTCTGTAAAATAAATATAATTTCATTGTCGTCGCGTGTCCCCATAGCAAAATACCATACGACATAATGCTATGGAAATAACTAAAGTAAACTATTCTAGCTGTTTCAACACTGGTAAGAGTTCTAATCTTTTTCACAGCATATGCTGCAGAACTAAGTCTGCTAGCTAGTTTTGATATATGGGGGAGCCATTGAAGCTTTGCGTCCAGTGTGATTCCAAGAAAAATGGTGGTATCAACAAGACTCAGTTGCCCCCCATTTAAAATTACATTAGTATTTAGTATTGACATGTTTAACATTAGGAGTTACGAATTTCATACATTTAGCTTTAGTTCCATTCAAATGCAAATTATTAACATTAAACCAATTGACTAACTTAGCTATAGCATTATTTACTTCGTCGTAATTTAATAAATAAAAAGAAGAAAAGTGGAGACCTCCCGCCGGGCAAGGCGTTATACCCGGGGAGCGGCCAACGCTGCGTGTCATAGTTCGGAGATGTCCTATATATACTGTTTATGATTTGGAATGTTGATAGCGTGATTTAGGCTTCGGTGTTTTTCGCTTGTGGCGCGACGACAGCGCCGCTATATCACCCCCCTGCTCAGACCGGAGGTCGACAGTTCGTCCGTTTCCGCGTTGCATGTCGCATGTGTTCATATCTATTGTTAACCTGAGACCCACGCTTACGCAGTTAGTATTGCTAAATTCTTTTTCTCTTATTGTACTGTGTTCCTGTCTTTTCATTCGTACCTTCTATATTTTGCTGTTGTTAGACTGTAATTACCGTGTGTACCAGCGCAATAAAAATAGATAAGTGTGAAAATAGATTATCATTTTACCACCCACCATACACACTTACACTTGGAACAGACACAAGCTATTATTACCAGTTACTCGACTCCACCGAGTCAGTAATTCATTCTTGGGGCAATGTATATACTCTTTTACAACAAAATCCCAGAAAATATACAAAATTTGTCATACACAAAATTCAAAAATGTTATTAAACTAAGTTTGTATATAAAGGATTATTATAATATTAAGGAATTTATGGATGATAATAACCCCTGGGAAGGGTGATCGCTACCAAGCTATTTCTAATTTGTCTTGTGTTGCTAATTGTAAACATGATTGTAAGCTGTTATTGGATAAAAAATAGTCCCGCTGGGTTTCTTGCTGGTTCTTCCCAGGACAGAGGTTTTTTTTTGCGACCCAGTGGTAAATGAAAAAGTGACTTTCAATAAGTATTGTTATAATCTACATTGATTAAAAAAGTTTCTGTTTCTGTTTCTGTTTCTTAAAAACGGCAGGGCCCCAGGCGAGGACGGAATTACAGCGGAGTTTCTGAAAGCGGGTGGAACACCGGTACTTAAAGTCCTTCAGAGGCTCTTCAATTTTGTCCTCCATGGTGGCGCTACTCCGGAGGCGTGGAACAGAAGTGCGGTGGTCTTGTTCTTTAAGAAAGGCGACAAATCGGTCTGTAGTTCTTCAAGAGAGCGTCTCTTGAAGAACTACAGACCGATTTTCCTTTTGAGCCGCGTCTACGTGCTGTTTTCGAGAGTCATTACGAATCGTATCGCACCCAGATTCGATGACTTCCAGCCTCCCGTACAAGCCGGTTTCCGAAAAGGCCTTAGTACCATAGACTACATACATACCCTGCGGCAGATTGTACATAAGACCGAAGAGTACGATCTGCTACTTTGCCTGGCGTATGTGGACTATGAGAAAGCCTTTGATTTCGTCGAAATTTGGGCGGCGCTACAGTCCCTTCAGCAGTGCCAAGTTGACTGTTGGTATATCGAAATGCTGAAGTGTTTGTACAGTAGGGCTACGATGGCCATCCGAGTACAGAACCAGAGTTCGGAACCTATCCAATTGCAGAGAGGTGTAAGACAGGGTGACGTTATATCCCCGAAGCTCTTCACCGCTGCACTGGAAGGCGTTTTCAAGCTACTTGACCAGGAATGGATACGGTATTAACATCAATGGCGAGTACATCACTCACCTTCGATTTGCCGACGATATAGTCCCTATGGCAGAATCGCTGGAGGAGCTTAGCACTATGCACAATAACCTCAATGGTGTCTCCCAACTAGTTTAAGATGAACATGGACAAAACAAAGATATTAATGTTTAATGTCCATGTCACCTATGCCGGTAATTGTTGGAAGCTCTATGCTCGAAGTTGTTAACAAGTACGTTTACCTGGGACAAATAGCCCGACTAGGTAAGTCCAACTTCGACCGAGAGGTCAGTCGACGGATTTAACTCGGCTGGGCAGCGTTCGGAAAATTACGACACATCTTCTTGTCAGGTATACTTCAAAACCTGAAAAGTAGATTGTACAACCAGTGCGTGTTGCCAGTGATGACTTACGGATCTGAGACGTGGTCCTTCACTGCTGGCCGTATGAGGACGCTCAAGGTCGCTCAGCGAGCTATGGAGAGGGCTATGCTCGGGTTTTCTCTGCATTATAGACTCAGAAATGAGCATATCCGCAGTAAATCAGAGTGACCGACATAGCCCAACGGATTAGTAAGCTGAAGTGGCAATGTGATGGTGAAGAAAGGTTCTCGAGTGGTAGCCTTGTACCGGTAGTCGTAGTGTAGGGCGACCCTCCACTAGTAGATGGAGTGACGACCTCGTAAGACATGCAGGAAGTCGATGGATGCAGGTGGCTCAGGACCGTGCTTTGTGGCATTACTTTGGGGAGGCCTATGTTCAGCAGTGGACTTGTGAAGGGCTGTAATGATGATGATGTTTTTGATGGCATTGTAATTACGTGACGTTGAATGTGTAGTGCGTTACGCTGTTTTGTTGCTGTTATGCAAGAGGGCAAGTTGAATATCTGCTATTACAACTTAATATTTTCATTAATAGATTCTTAACATTTTTCTATCAAATAATTAATGAAACTCGTAAATGGTAATTATTTAATCTTTATTAATTTTTTTTCATCTTTGAATTCTGATCATCTTGCTGGTCGATTACAGTCTTTGCCATATTGTAAATTGGTGCTTCGACGGTTAAATAAAATTGCAAACCTATTAGATATGGTATCGCTGCCATTGTAACATAGTTACTTAACTGAAACAGAACAAAATTGTTATAAGATTGTGCAGTCGATTCAGGTCCCTAGTGTGACATAACTGAGTCAATAATAGTAACTATCCATCTGCGTAGGATGAATTATAATGCACTATTGTGTGTACAAACACAGGTGCACTTACTCTCTTAGTCCGATAGGAAGGTAATCAGACTCGACCATGAGAGAGATCAGGCGCAGGACCAAGGGCTTTACTTGCTATCCAAGGCATAGGGTTATAAGACTGCCAGCACCTCACTGCGGGCTGCTACTAATAATTTCTTGACAGAAAAACCCAATAAATTAGTTTTGAACCGTCACGGAATTCGAATGTAGGACAACTTGATAAACATTCACTTTTACAAACACTAGACCATAGAGGCAGTACAGGCTACATGAGGCTAGCATTAGCATATTGTAATATTCTGTAATATCATTATGAGATGACCGATTTGCATTTGCGTAAATTCAAAACACATGTAAAAATCGTTCTTATGAAGAAAGGGAAAACATATTATCACAATATTGTATTGAGCCGCGCGGCTGTTCACACTCTCCATCTATCCATCCATTAAGCTATTCGAAGCCCAATTCTGAACATAGGCCTCCAATAGGTAGGCTCCAAATGGGATATTTGTCACAGTGGCCACGTGGGACAGGCGAGTTATCCATCTGTTTCCATCCTAGTCTGTTTACCTCTGTCGCGTGTTATGACACTTACAGGGTGAAATGGGGTATAGCGTATTCCTGTACCAACACTGCGTGATTTTGGTCACATAGTGATTATTTTTAAGTAAATAGGGACCTCTGCGTGTCAACAAGATAAAGTATGCATTATTTTGTATTGCATATAACTTAAAACATTTTTTTTATAAATGGGCAGTTGTATCTTAAAGGCTAAGCGCTCGGGGTAAATTGAAAAGCAACCCATATTCGATCCCTGCCGGCAACAATCAAGTGCAATTTTAGATGCACTTGCTAGATAGTGAAGTAAACATTGTGATGAATACTGTTTGTTTGTAAAATTAAAAACGACGAACTACTTACCCCTTACATAATCCCTTTATAAATTATTGGAGCTCTCCTTTAATATCTAATAGGGTTGTGCGTTCAACAGTGGGATTGGCTGTTACTTTACTTTTGCACTGCTGCTTTGAAATAAATAATAGAGATAGTGAAGGGAAAGGCAATATCAGAAATCCATTTTCCAAGTTGTCGAATTTTACAATTTTTAGTTCCTTACCACAACAAAAATGGAATTATGTCCTAGTTGCATTCTAGTTCCCATTATTACAAAAACAATGTTCATGTGGACTAAGAAAGTCACATACGTGAGTCTGCTGGGAATCACCCAGCCGCGCCACTCCAATATACTGCATAGAGTGTCTAAAACAAGTAAATTTACAATTATTAGAAAGTCAATAGCTTTTATTAACATTTACAAAAGTTAAAGTACAATTTTGATTATGTCAGCCAAATACAAGAATCCCTGTGTAAATTTAACCTTTGTCAAAAAATTTATTTACTTTCTAAATTAAATCCTTATAACACATGCACGAGTGACGGTAAACAACAACATTCTCACACCTGATATTGTTCCTTCAAAATTCTCTGTGTTTTCTCTCATCAACCAAGTCCCAAGAAACTTCACTAGACAAACATAACTTAAGGTCTTTTTTTAGTCTAGTTTAAATTCCTCAGCGAGCTATAGAAAGAACTATCCTCTAAGTTTCCCTTTTATTTTTACCGACAAACCCAACGGATCCGTAAGCTGAAGAAGCGATTGGCCGACCATGTACCTGAAAGGACCAACAACCAATAGGGATAAATGTTCTCGAGTGGCAGCCACATTCCTAATAGCGCAGTGTAGTGCGATCGGCCCCCTACTTGATAGAGTGGCGACCTTGTAAGACTTTTAAGAAGTCAAAGGATGCAAGAGACTTCGTAGCGTGTTTTGTAGCGTTCCTTAGGGGTGGCCTTGTGAACGGCTTGTGAAAGGCTGTGAAGATGGTTGACAATAATATTTACTTGATAAATTTTTAGTTTAATTTTTGTACCTATAATATTAATATATTTGAAAATGAATAAAATTATAAAATTGCACTTACTATTTAGCTTGAAGACCAGCGAAATAATTATGGTCGCGCCAATAGCGCCCGCGACAACTCTCTGCGTTGCTGCATACAGCAATTTGAATGTAAAGGATACCTCATATCCTTTAACGTAAAATATATTTCCCAAAAAGAACACATAAACTGTAGCAGGCAACATGCACCAAATGAATATGGAAACAATCTGCAAAATAAATTGTTTACTCATGAGTACGTATAATGTAATATGTATTGTAAATAGGTGAGTAAATATTACTGGCGCGTCACATTATACAACCAAGTCAACCAACCATTACCTAAACCTAAAATCCCAGCTTCTGATATTGAACTGTAACCCTAAATTTTCAAAAAAAAATGTCCGTACTTTTAACGCTGTTTCTAATATATATATATTAACAACCTTTGTCAACTCAAACATTAAAATGGGAAGGAGTTGCATTCGCAGTAGACACTGTGTTTTTTTTTTTACAAATAAGCGCAACTAGATTATAATTCGATCCGATCAACCGGGATCTTAACACTGAGAAGAATAGAATAGAATAATTTTTATTTAATGTAAATAATTTGTAACGAAATTCATTTGTTTTACTTAGGAAACACAAGCAATATTAAGTATTAAAAAAAACAAACGGTTTTTTTAAATACTTAATATCAATCAAAATAAACGGTGAAATCGTACAATTAACGCTACTAACTGTCAAAATTTGGTTAAATCCACACAAAAATCAGTAAATAACTTCATAACGTAATTTGTTATTTTTGCCGTGGTTGGAAGAGGTTAATCTCCCACTGGGTAAGATCAGCTTGGAGAGCAAACAAAGCTCCACGTATTAGTTCGTTCCCCGGAGCTTGTTGTTATAAAAGTGAAGTAGCAAACGACATCACAGTCCACCTGATGGTAAGTAGCTACTGCTCTCCAGGAACACCTGCAGCTAACTTCAACCAAATAATGCTACAGATATGTCGTCATCTTGTACAAATAAATAAATATCATTTTATTGCCACTTTTAAAAACATGTTTACATATAAACTAATTATTTAATCTTAATTTAATTTAGGCAAACGGAGGTAACTCAGCTTTTGCTTACATGGAACTAGATACCATGAAGCGCTGTTTTTCAGGCACTCCTTCTTCCCTGAGATGTTACACGGGTATTATGAGAATTTCGAGTTCCCTAATCACCTCTTTCTTTACTCATCTATCATTGGAATTTAACATGTATGGTTGTACAACTGTGATGGAATGCTGCGGAGCCTGTAATTATAGCAGTCCGTCTGGGTGAGTCTCTCACCCGTTTCTGCCATCAAGCAGCAGTTGTGCAATGCAGTGGTCTGAAGGGTTTAGAGGCCCAGTATAATTAACTACAGCTGTAAGGCATTACATCTTGATCCGGAAATATGACTAAGGATCTGTGGCCTGATTTGCTTAATGTTGGTTGCAGGTGTCAAAACTGTTATTAAGTGGACTGACAGTAAGCTTGTCAAGTCAGATTTAAAAAAAGTTGAAATGGGTGTAATAGATGAATAAAGTAAAGTAATGGTAGATTCTAATAAAAATAATGAAAACTGCCGTGATACGATAGCTTACCTTACTGTTTCGAATAGGTTTCTCATTTTCTTGCATATGATGTATCAAGTAACCGGTTATCATACCAACTACGTGCCCAGATAAATTATTATGGCCGAGAATATGCATCATAAAAAAAGTATCGTTATTTTTTTCTCTGAATAATCTATAACAGAAAATAAAAAATATTTTGTATTCATTGGTGCAAAGTTACTGTTGCTAGTAGCCCATACTTCTGTTAAACACTAAAATGGACCTAGAACAGTCTTGCTTGTAAGACCACAGTACATTTTTGAAAAAAGTATCACTGAGATACTTTATTGCACGATCCGACAGTGTCATGATTAAACTTTTACTGAAGTTATTACTACATCTTTACAAAAAGAAGCTTTCTTATTCCATGGTTGGACACCCACCATAATGCAAGACTATAATAACGATAACTAATTAGCCGAACTTTTTGCGGAGCTTCTTTAAAACCATAAGAGGCGATTATGGGAAACTCCCGAAATATCTCGTGGCTTTCGTAAGATGGTGGTGTGACCATGTCGTTTTAGCCAAACTTGAAATCCAGACACCAACCCAACACCAGCGATGAGTATCGCGCTTTCCTACCAAACGTTCGTCTTGCAAGGTAAAGGCAAATCATCCCAAAAGATTTATTTTAATTATCTTACGAAATAATACTGCCTACAGTATTGTTTGGAAATTATAGCTTCGATGAAAATAAGTCAATACCATTGTCATAAGACTGGTATACCTACATATTTTTTTAAATAGTACATGTTTATTCTAAGCAGTTTTTGGAAAACAGATGAGACAACTATAAGGTTTTAAAACTTTTCTATTTTACAAAATAAATTAAGGACATATTATATATAACAAAAAATTTTGAGAGCAGACAAGTCGAGGTGGGGCAAAGTAACTAAATCGGCTAAACGACTCGAATTGCTCGGCAGGGCTCGATCCCACATTGCCATGAGTCATTGTGAAATAACTAATTACGAGTACATACTACGAGTACCTATGTACTCGTAAATGTACCTATAAAATCTACTAGATCAATAAAAAGAAAGCTAAGAGATCTCGGCATAAACAAAAAAATTAAAACAAAAAATCGGTGTAAACATACTCGGGGCTAAAAATTATAATTGGATCCAATTCTTGCAGTAAGACATGGAGTGCTGGCAACGCGATACCCAGTAGCAGCATGAATGTCAACAGAATTCTTCTGCCGCAATTCTTCGTGGCTATATGCACAGCCAATCCTAAGATGTATAATTGCATTTCCGCCGCTACATGCCTGAATAGTATTAAAAGATATTAATTACACATCATTAGGTGTCTTCACAACAATATGGTTGAAATGGAGTATGGAACAATGTCGTCCCTTGAATTATAATAAGATAAATAAGAATGAAGAATGCGGATTATTGACGTTCAGCCGGAATCCGGAATGTTACGTAAAATGTCTATGTCAATGTCAAGCTTGATTACAGAACGACTGGTTAAGTTCACTATCTTTATAACAAATTTATGGCCACAACGCAAAAGAGCTATTGAATGTTGTGGTACTACAGACAATTCGTTTCATTTGTTCGTTTTGTAATGTATGGCACTTAAAATTCAGCATTATCAGCCGCATTGTAGAACGCAGGAAGCTGATACATTACATGATGTGTGTTACAACTAGGCGTTTATTAATACGTCTTATTTCTTATTTGGCTGCGACATACATTCGTGCTGACCGAATGCAGCCGAAGCCATTCCCTCTCGCCGGAACAGAAAACCTTTCGTTTCAGCTTATTATTTTTGTGATTTCGATCTTTTTTCATACTGTTGCGTGAATAAGTCAACGTCATACACTAGCGCCATCTAGTGTCAGGAACGAGAGCGAGGGGGAGCTTTGCAGAAAATGACATCACAAATCTTTCAACCGACAGCGCCATCCGAAGAACTAAGTTTCTAGAAAATCTACACTCGAAAACTCGTCGCTTTGCGCGCATTTAGCTCAAGCTCGTAACAATACGATTACGGGCTAAGTATATGCTAAATTTTACCTTGCATTATAACGAATTCATAAACGGTTTTTAATAATAATTTTTATGCCTATCGTATACTGCGATACCTTAAGCGCTGTCTTATTGCCATCGCTCGCACGATGATGCGATGCGATTTCATTATCCGTTTAATCCGCACGCATGATTTCTTCAGTCGCATCGCATGATCGCACGACGTTCAATAGGACATTCCGTAGATATGAGTATGTTTTAACGCACGGTCGCACGATCATTTTCGTCGGACGCAACGCGTGATCGCGCGAGCGATTGCAATAGGACAGCGCCTTAGGCATATTTAGAAGATCAAAATCAACTTATTTACAAACTATACTGATTGATATTTACAAAATTTACTACATTATTGTTGTTTAAAAAAAATCTTTTTAGTAATATAGCAGTAATTGTTTATAGTGTCCATCGATTCTTTCTAAATACAAACTACCACGTCTTTGTAAATTGTTTGATAAACTTTAACTAACACTTTGGGCTTCTTCTGTGTACGCTAATCGTTTTAGTTCGGCCCACAAATAAAAGTTCAGAGGTTTTAGGTCTGGCGATCTCGCCGGCCAGTTCACAGGTCAGCCGCGACCTATACATCTATCACTGAATTGGTCCAGATATGCGCGCACAGATTGTTCGTAATGAGTTGGACACAAATCGTGCTGGAAGTACAACCCTTGCAGATGGCTCACAGGAACGTGTTCCAACATTTGTGTCGATGACGGAACGTATCATTTGCAGATACGTCATTCCCGTCAATCGATCTTCAATACCATATTGGAACAATGATATGGTCGTTAATGATTGCCATCCAAACGTTAACACTAAAATGAATTTGATAAGCTTGCTCTTTGATTTTGTGTGGGTTTTAGAAACTCCAAGTGCTCATTGTGCACGTTGTAAATTTCAACATAGGTTTTTTCATCAGACATGACATAAAATCTCGGCATTGCTAGATATACGACATTAGAGTATTGGTATATGGTTACGATAACTACCTTCGGGCGGCCGCTAAAATTAAATAAAAAGCCTTTTATTTCATGCATTGCACATAACATTTGCTTATAATAATATATTAGGGTAATAAAAATAAAATAAGTTAAAAAAGGACTGTTACATTACTTTTGTATTTTTCTCAAAAGTGAATATTTGTATATATTTTTTTCCTTTTCATTACAAAATTATTTTCATTTCTGTTTTAATCATATATTAAATGAAATCAAAATAATTAAATTAAATTTAAATTTAATTAAATATTAAATATACTACTAATTAGAATTCATTCAGTTTTTTTAAAAAACAAAAAAATTTTGGTTTTTAATATAATAAAACAAATAAAAATAAATTGTATAAATAAAATAAGAAAATAAAATTAAAGATTTAAAATAAAGTAAAGATTTTAGATAAAAAATAAAAATACCACACATGAACTCCTCAAGTAGTGAGGGTAAAGGCCTCCTCCAGAGGATGCCAACGGTCTTGGTCTTTGGCTTCTGACATCCAGTTTTTGCCTGCGACTCGAGTGATGTCGTCTGCCCATCTAGATGCAGGTCTTCCCCTTTTCCGAGTGCCTCTAGTATCTGTCCATGATGTTATGAGGATTGTCCATCGCTCGTCGCTCATTCTCGCTACGTATACTGCCCACCTCCATTTTTACTTTAGAGCGTACGTGAGGGAATCTGATACTTTTGTCTTTTGCTTTATGATAGTGGGACAATTTTTTTGACTTTTCTAATTTTTGTGACACTTCTTTACACGTTTCGCTGGCAGGATTTTATTTTTTCCATTTACTTGTGCATCATTGTTTCGTTTTTGAAAAGAATTTATTTGCCTGAGTAGATATTAGTTCGACAGAAATCGATATTGATGACACCAGAGTTTTCGTTTTAACCGGTTATTATTATTTTCGTTTAGTTTCCTGCTTTCAAATTCTAATTTACGTTTACATTATCAGGATCAAGCTTAGTGCGTTGTCGAAGTCGGTCGGTTTTAAATTATATTTTCTTCTGGTCAGTCACAATTCATGTGTATGCATATTTAATGTATTGATTAATATATTAATTAGTGAAAATTCTCGTCACTACATTCAACTCGTTTTTGCCGGTCCCTACAGCCCAGTTAAAAGTTGAGAGGTCTGATTTTATTCCTCCAAAATCTCTTTTGAGGACTGTTCTGCTCGGTTGCATGAGTTTGATTTTATTTAAATTCAGGCCCAACATTACTGGATAGTGATCTGATATCAGATTGACAGACAATGCCTACTGTTTTCAGGCTTAGTTAAGAATATTAAAAATTAATATGGTCTAGACATGATTTTCCTCTGGTAAGTTCATAATATGTTGATATTATAAAACCTGAGAGTTTGTAGTATACGATTAATTGACGTTCATATCGCCAGCAATTACAAGGGGGCAATTTTCAGTGGCAGAATTCATGTCGAAGTGATATCAGAAAATCCTCTATATTTCTACAGGTTGGAGAACGATAGATAGCTTATATAGAAATCATGTCTAGAATACGTACCGTTAAATAACTAGAGTTGTCAATGGGTGGTTCTGAAACCGTTGCGAGCCATATATCCCTCACGCGAATTACAACGCCACTGTTTTGGTTTAAGTTATTTTCAAATTTATAGACATTATATCCTTGCAATTGGTGAATATTTATCGTATCATTTAGCCAACACTCTGTTAAGATTATGATATCATAAACAATACCTGTTCGCCGCATTGCTACTAAAAAGTATTAAAGTGTAAAGTTCTGTTGGATGCTCCTAATATTTGAATTTATTAATCTAAAGTTATGTTTCTGAGTAAATTTGGCTTTACACTGCTCTACTTCATTGACATTATAGCAATTTATCTTTATCGAGTCTAAATCTGCTTCAAAGTTGTCATCAATCTTTTTTGTTGATTTAATGACATTCCAATTTTGCCTTACTATTTTCACAAAGCAATGATAAATCGGTTGAAAGTAAGTGAGTGATACTTAAAATATTAATTATGGTATAGCTATGTGGAATTAAAGCATTTATACGCAGTAGACATATAGTACAATATAATATGATTATTATTAAGAATTGTATTAAATAAACCGTTCTAATAAATAGGTGTATAATATGTAAAGATGTAAATCAATATGTATGATAGGTACTGGAAATATAGTTAATAAAATTTTTCGTGATAATGTGACCGAAGTTTGCCTCAAATTTCAATATCGTTAAAAATGGTTAACTTGGTATCTTAACAATCATTACAGTAAAGCAGTAGAGTACAATTAAAAATGTTCATTTGAAAATGATATCGTTAAGAATTATTCATAAAGACTGACATATCTCTTGCACCATGCAAGAAAAATAGAGATACGATGGGTTTGTTATGGTTTTTAACTATCTTATTTAATAGGCAAATGACGGTCCAGATCGTGTTTAGTTCTAATAAGTGTTGCAGTTTCCCTTCTCGTTTTCTAATATATATTGCACCATGGTTGCACCAGCAGAAAGCATAATCATGTTTTTGGCTCTCACTCTGGCGTCGGAAAATAATAGTCTATTAATAAAAGTTCATTACAGAACCTTTAATCGGCGAGACAATTATTTCCAGTTCTGCGCTGATGAGGGTATTTCTTGATTTAAAAGCTTTTAATACTCGGTCGCGGTTGGATCGCCGGTGCAAATGCACTACGATGGGTTAAATCTTTCTACTGCCACTATCAGGAACATTAGGTGATGCAGCCAGGCGCAGAGGTTTAACATGGGTTATCCAGTCCACGTCGACGTCTTCCAACTGTGCTCCAACTTTTTGAGCGGCCACCTTTACAATATGTTCGAGATTTTCATTATTACCTTCTGGTATACCGACGATCTCTGTCTCGTTGCGAAATCCCTGTTGTAATTGTATATTGAGGTCATTCTGTAGATGGACCACAGATGTGTGCAAATTTATGAATTTTTGAATGCATTTTCTAGTTTTATCAAGCGACTTTCATTGACATGGACCATACTAACTCGTCCATCCTTTCATAGCAATTGTGTAGAGAAATCGTCACTTCATCCAACTTTGTTTTTAGCGTCGCAAATTCACTAGTTAAGCGAGCGATTAATGCTTTTAATTCTCTTATTTCTGTTTCAGAAGTCCGACAGTCGGACACAGCCTTGTTGCGCATCTTAACGTTCTGCAAAACCAGGTTAGGACATATTGGCGTTTGAGTGTTATCGCCACCTTTTTTCTGAGAAGCACTATATTCTGTAACCGATGTTAAATTAATATAGTACGAGCAGTATTCGCATTTTGGCATAATATGACACTTACATTCTTAGTGACCTTCAGACAACCTGCACTTCATCGCTAATTAGTAGTAAATTTATATATCCCTCAAAAATAAAAATATAAATTTCTACCAACTGCCCGATATGCACCGCGCATCTTTAACAATACTGACTGTGCGACGCACTACGCTCACTGCAAACGGTTTTAACGGTTAAACGGTTAAAAAGTTTTACGTTTTGAATGGTACGGTGTAAATATAGTCGACACCTTAAAATGTGATGCGGATGATTTCAATCATTATTTTAATGTGTTTGATCATCACTATCATCATTCACTCCAATATCAAATAGGCCTCTGGAGTTAATTTCTAGTTAGGTCCAAACTAACTCATAACAAGCCACTCATTCTGAATCCTATCAACATTCCAGTCCCATCTTTTACAATTCCTTTTTAAAAGTTCTAGATGATACGCTGCAGGTGATCGTCCATATGAATCAAAATATAGACCGATGTAATTAGTATTGATATATAAAGCTATCCAATGTGAGCCTGGTTTATCATCTGTATCCAAACTGCATATTATGTACGTTGATGCGTGTGTATACATGGGCATATATCTATTAGCAGCATAAACATTTTATTTTCTAGACTAGGATGAATCTTTTTCAGATGTTGTTGTATATCTAGTATACCCATGATATTACTGCTATTTGTTTTTTTACATTACCAATCTATTCAATGGATAACATAGGAATTATCAATTATAGTGATTTGTAAATATTAAATCGAATTCTTTTGTAATGATTTGTAGGAGTCATCGGTGAAGTGTAAGTCGCAACATGAAAGAATGCGAAATAAGCTTGTTGACTCATACTATTAGTTTCACTGCTGAAATGCTTTAGATTAGATATAACTTTCTGGTGCTATATAACACCGAGCAGCTGCAGTCATGGAATCATTGTATGGTCGATCTACCGCAGTGGATCTACCAATACTACGTTTGTGCTACTTCGACACGTCAATGGGCATGGATGTGAGTGTTTATTACATTAACAAACTTACTTTTCTTTTTGTTATTTTCTAAAACTTAATTTCAAATTTATATTACTGTGTTGTTGCAGAAGTCATTCAGCTTCGATGAAAATACTAAATAAATAGTATTGCTACTCGCTACTCTCCCCTCGAGAAGAGAGTCATGACATCGTCATAAATTAAAGTGAACCTTTCTTTCTCGTTTATTGCCACTTAAGCTTAATAATCCAATTTATTGTGAACTCACAATAAAATAATTCGAATTTAATCATAACAGTTTACTGAATAGACAACAAAATCATTATATTTATAAATTTAATAACGATGAGCGAAAGTAGCCTAAGGAAGCGGGCTGCATAGTCGGAAAGTCGTGTGTTCGAAGTTATGAACCATTCCAATCACAAGCATTTTAAGCTTAATTGCAATGTTTAACGATTGTAAGGTGAATAGCGTAATTAATAATATTTTTAATAAAAACATATTTAAAAAACTTACCATGTCTGATTGAGGCAACTACTGTTTTTTATGTCCGTGTAGTTATTAATAAATAACAAATGGTGCCACCAGTATTTGCGACAGTCATCCGCAGTTCTCCTCCCATACAGTTTCCACAGCGGCCCAGATCCGAGATGTTTGAACCAAGTAGATGTAAAAAATAGTACTGTTGCATACGCTGGAATTAGCCTATAACACAAAATAGCAATCACGAACATAATATCAAATATTTATAAATCAAGAAAAGTGTAGGGCGGTCCCCCATTATAGGATTGACGTCCTGGTATAGTAAGAGATGCAAAAAGTCGATGTATAAAGGTGGCTCAGGACCGTGCTTTGTGACATTCCCTTCGGAAGGCCCATTTTCAGCAGTGGACTTGTGATGGGCCGTAACGATGATGATGATGATTTATAAAGCGAAAGAGAACTGTTCAACGTACGTACTATTCACGAGCAGCTCTTTTTGGGACTTTTTTGATTGGGATTTTAAACTATTTAGTGCCTTTAAATATGGAAGTATTGAACATTTTTTGAGTATTAGTAATCTGGCCAACGTTTGGCCAAGATGCCATCTGATGTTAAATAGTGATTACGTGGTTCTCCACGCTATAATTACCTAAGTATCTCTGTTTGTGGTTTTAACAAAAACTAACCACTAACCAAACTATTTTTTAAATTGTATTTATTCACTTCATTTCTAATAATTTAATGAATGTCATCACTCCCATTCATAGCTGAATTTCCTGAACTATCAAAATTGTACCAACGGTAAACTATTTAAAAGTAAAAGAGTATTGAATGTACATATTAAACAATATCATAGCAACATTATTTCGGCTTAAGTGTCTACCGTGGAAAATCATAACTTTTTTAGAAATATCTCCAATAACCCAATTTTAATTTTTTTCGGAACTTTACATTAACTATCATCGTAATGTACCAGTGATTAAAAAAATTCTCAGAGGTACGGGAGGAGGACCACAAAGAAGCTGGCTTGGAAGTATAACCGCTCAGATAAATGAATAAGTGCACTAAATTGCTCACTAATTGCTCAATTCAAATCCGCATTTGCTCACACTATTAATGAATTATTTTATTAGTTATTAATAATTAAAATACAAAATATTTTTTCCCTATTATACTTAAAACCAATGAACTTTTCTAAAAACGAATAAATACCATTAATTGCTCAAGAAATGCTTAATTCAAAACCGTATTTGATCACACTATGAATTCATTATTTAATTAAAAATTAATAATTAAAAGTACAAAATTTTTTCCATAACCGATCAGAATATTGAATAGGTGCACAAAATTGCTCACTAATTGCTCATTTCAAATCTGCAATTGCTCACAATATTTATCAATTATTTTATTAGTTATTAATAATTAAAAATACAAAATTGTTATTGCCTTAAAACCAAATAACTTTTTTAAAAATGAATAAGTACTCCTAATTGCTCACAAAATGCCTTTAACATCATTAAGCTACTTTAGCTGCTTTTTAGCAGCATTAAGCTACTATTTTACCAGCGTAAAATAGTAGTTTAATGCTGCTGTGTTTCGTAAGGTGAGTGTAGAGAACCGGAGACCCTTTTTACTGGAAACGAGGCATTCCATCTTAGCCCTCACGGGTGACAACGCATCTGCATTTTGATTCGTAATCGAGGATAGATGTAGATGTCTATGGGCCACAGCAGCCACTTACCAACAGGTGGATTGTGTGCTCGTTTGTCACCCTATCCTATAAAATTTTTTTAGATTACTCCATTAATACTCGTTTGTCTTAAACTCATCCTAAATTTGATTAAAAAAACTATTGGAGTTGTAATTAATGAATGGCGACTCAAAAACGCATTCTGATTTTTTCGTTTTCAGACGACGTCCTGGCTCCTCGTAATGGAGAGATTTGAAAATCTTCGTTAATCTTTCTCAATATTTAATTTTGCCGTCGAATCCTTCTATGTTTATCGACCGGGGACGGGCCACGCACTCACAGGATACTAGTGTTAAATAGCTGCTTTATGCTGCCGTGTGTAGAGAACCAAAGACCAGTGATTTTTCTAAATATTATATATTAAAACTATGTGTTTCTACGCTTTAATATTATATCTTTCAATCTCTTAAGAGTGCTAGACGTTTAATACTACGACAGAATGGCAAATCCGTCTAAATAAATGAGGTAGACTCATGTGCAGTAGTGGACTATTTAAAGTACATATAAAGAAGACGTAACAGAAAAATTACCGCAGGCTGCCGATAGTGCACATAATATTCACTCATGTCTTTACGACACCCAATTTCATAAAAAATAAATACCCAGTGGAAGCGCCAGCAACTTGCGGGGTGATCACACAAAATGGTACATTGGCCGGGAACCGAAAGGTTTCTTTGATATTTTATGGACTGTGTTTTGGTGTATGCAACAAAGGTATCACAGAAGTAGGCTGCCTTACCTTCTACCTGGTGTATCAGTATCACAGCAAGCCCACCACGTGGTTCGGCATAATCGCACTCTTGGAAAAATCCCAAAAATTCCACACTCTCGACCTTTGCGCTCGCGGTAATGGCGTATCATAAAGCATAATTAAACATAAATAGGAAGGCTTAATGTCCATCCTGCGCGGTTCGTGGTTAACATACGATATACAGCATTTATGACGCAATGCCGGGTGATCGCCGCTTGCGTGGCTCTTGTGTCACCTGGACGGCATCGCGTGCATGTGAAGGAATGTAAAGGAGATAAGAGGAGTTTGGTTATGTCTAAGTATTTTATTAGACTTAGAAATTGAATTGTTAACTGGTTTTACCACAAAGGGTTTCGTTAAGTTAAACCAGTGTACTCTAACATCTACAGATACAACACCACTTACAATCAGGCGATATAGTAGTCAAGTACAGACTTTTAATAAGTATAAAAATGGCTCTTTTTTTATAGAAGAGAGGCAAACAAGCATGCGACTCACCTAATGGTAAGTGACTACCGCCGGCCGTGAACTACCGCAACACCAGGGAATTGCATGTGCGTTGCCGGCCCTTTAAAAAGTAGTAAGCTCTTTTCTTGAAGCTCTCTCATTCGTATCGATCCAGAAAAATCGCCGGTGGTATATAATTCCACAGAGAAGTTGTACGAGAAACAAAACTCCTAATAAAACGCACAGTGGTGGACCTCCAAGCATACAGATAGTGAGTATGGAATCGTGAATTTTGACGCGATGTGCGTTCGGGAAATTTGGCGGCTGGAACTAATCCAAACAATTCCTCAGAACATTTCCTATGGTAAATACGATAGAAAACGCAAAGAGATGCTACATCCCTATACAGCGCCAGTGAATCGAGCCAATCAGAAAGAACTTGGTCGTCGACGATTCGAATCGCTCTGCGCTGGATGCGGCCAAGTGGAAGGAGCTGGCACTGGTGTACACCGGCCCAGAGATGAGAACAGTATTCCATGTGCTGACATAAAATACTTTCTCGCTCTGCTGAGCACGCTAAGCTTTAGAGGCAAATTTGGCCTTCTCCTCCAAGTGACCACGAAACTGCACAACC